ACCAAAAGGTCTTAAAACACAGATTTAAAAACAAAAACAAACTAGGATCTTATTTTAATCAGATTGTACAAAATTCATGCCAACAAATACAGCTTCAGCGCAATTACACCACTTTATTATCCTCTACGACGTATATCAAGTCATTGTTGTGAACACATTTAATAAATCAATGACATAAAACACTGCAACAAATACAATTAAAGGCAATTTGTCTTGTCTTTAATTGTCTCCGTTATTACCTATGACGTGGCAAGTGCCAGCAATGTACCATAAATAGTCGGTGGAGGTGGCGATTGCTAGCAAAATACTGTGAATGTCGGTGGAGGTGGCCAGTGACAGCAAGGTCATTTAAATGGCATGAGAAGTGGTGAGTTCCAGCAGTAGTGTACTGTAAATGTCTGTAGAGGTGGCGAGTGCTAGCAAGGTACTGTGCAGGCGTCGAGTACCAGCAAGTTACTATAAAAGTCACATTCAACAAAATATTGAAGGCAGTTTAAATATAAATGATATTATTTTTATCTAAAATATAATGGGGTTTGGGGGCGTTTTATTATAAATTATAAATATCCGACTATACTATCCCATAATTCTATGGAACACATCTACATGTTACCAGGTTACACCACTTTTTGCTGAAAAGAGTTTCAGTGAGTAAATGAATGCAACAGATTCCCATCTTAAGTGTTATCTTTTTGGGGGTTCTTTATGCTTACCGAACCATATAAATATACATATTAAGATCCAATAAGTTACTTGTTGAGAAGTTTCTTTGGGCAGTGTCTTACAGTCTCCGGGGGAGTTTTCTGGAATTCGGGTTAGGACCCTACTCATTCGAGCCTGAGTACCGTAAACTCTCTTGTTTTGGCGTCACTCTAATTTAGGCGTCAGGGAAATGTGAAAGGTCTTAGTTTTGTTCTAAGATAAGCGTCACGAAATCACAGACAATTCAAAAAATACAATTCACAAGATGAACAAAAATACTCAGTATATTTATTGTAATATGCATTATTTTTTTAGTTTTGTTGGTAACGTAAAGTATATTCTAAAAGAAGTAAAAATAAAAACAAACGCGAATGCATTGCTTAAGAGTAGCAAGTGATCACAGTGGCACAATCCGGTCATGATAGTTTCACAAGTGAATAACTTACAGTTTTCGAAGTATGGCAACTGTTGATTATTACTCAATAGTGATTATAATAACCATGGAGCTCCCTTTCTAGCTCCATGTAATAACGTATAAAAAATAAATTTGTTGAATTTTTATGAAATGTAAGTAGAATTCAACTTAGTTTCATCGTAAACGAATGATTTCGGTTGCATGTAAACGCCCGATACGATACGATATCCGCCATGTTTTTCAATACACGAGATGGCCTGAAATTGTGTTTTTTGACCTGATAAGTCAAGTCGCCAATTAACCAATCGAAATGATGGATTGTGCCAACGTGTTTAAATTACCATACCTCATTAAAATATGATAATGTCAGTACAGCGACTTCATGGCAAACGCAACACGGTAGAGATTTTCCGTTGTTGTAGTACGATTTTTTGGCTTTGATTTTGATGGGAAAATGACATTATTTTTTTTTTTAAATCAAAAATATTAGCTGTTTTCGAAAGTTGTGCAAAAGTTTACCACTGATGTGGGTCAGCGCAACAAAAATCCTGACTGGGCGTCAGGTTAGCATGAATCAAATAATCGGATAAAAAAATGAAAACGTGTCTTTCCAGCATTTTTGATAATTCCGATAAAACACATACTAGATGATGACTTGCCACATACTGTACAGTACATACAGTAAAAGTCTGGATTAAGTCAGCGTTGTCTAGCATTTTCTTTGCATCTATGCCCTTAACGCTGAGATGTAATTTGAAATTTGTAGAATCATTATAGACAAAGACACATTGTTCCCGTTAACAAAGTGATAATAATTTAGAGTTGATTTCGTTAATTTCCGATTGTACATTTATGTCAGTCTGTGGTGGAAGATTTGAACTGTCTCGTGTCTCGGGCTAAAAAGACTTTACGATCATTAAATATGTCAATAAATGAACGTGCATCTGTATGTCATCATGTGCATCTCCTTTAAACAAATTCTGCCCAAGCATGTCTTATGCACCAATTTTCAAGAATCTGTCATTAGTTAGGTGAAGTTCGGTGATTTGAAAAGTCTCTTGGTCACTAAATTTACTTTATCTGTGTTTCCTCAATACATTTACAGATATATTAGTTAAAATTCACAATACCTTATGATTATTATTCATTTCTTGTATGCAAAATTATTCAAATATGTGATATTTTGACCATAGACTTCAACCATAGGCATTTGTCATTCTCATAGAGAAAATCTGGCTTTTCAAAATATAACTGCAAGCAGTGATCAGGGTAGTTCCAAATGGCAATTGGCAATCTATGATAACTCACCTGTGGTGTTAGTTGCATGCCACTATCTGCTCCAGTACATAAAGTATTACAGTTATGCATACAGGTCACATATGTAGTCATATCGCTCTGCGATGCCTTCATTATAGCACTGGTTTACAGTGTATAATATATTACAGTTAAGCATATTAATCAGGTTACACATATTGTTAGATAATTTAGTCTTATATCTTGTCCCATGCCTTCAATATTGTACTGAATGCATATCTCTGACTGCAACAGAGCATATTAACATGTCCATATATGAACATGTGTTTTGTTAGTCACATTGTCAAAGGCCTTCTTTATAGCAATGGTTGCAGGTCATCTGCAGCAGTACTTTATACATGACAATTGTGCATATTGATTAGGTCACATAATCATATATGGTCATCTTATACGTTAGTCACATTGCCTGTCAAACGCCTCCATTATAAAAATAGTTGTATGTTATTATCCCAAACCGTGCTTGTGGTATTACAGTTATGCATGTTAATAAGGTCACACGTTTATATAAAAGTAGGTAATTAATATGCACGGGTTTCAGTGGCTTATACCAGAATACCTATAATCTGATGAGTGGTTGAAATATTTCAGAAAACCTAAAATTTGCTGATCAATATGCAAATCAGGTAATTAATATGCACAGATTACAACTAGAAACTAATCAGGTTTGCACGTTACCCTAGATCATCTATGTAGCTAATTACTATGGAAATTAATGAATGTAAGTTATATGCAACATGGATTAGAAACATTATATTGACAAAAAAATTATAATTACAATTAATATCAAAGTTTTAAACTATATATATAATAAAATTAGACAGATGCAGGATATATTTAATAATAAAATTCATGTCCCTAAATATCACATAAACTGTGGTATTCTCAAGCTCACTTATAGAATGTAACATGAACAGTCCCTGTTTGTATTATAGGTATGATTACTAAGCCGATACTCATAATATCACCTGACATGTATGAGATATGGTTCTTTGTAACTACAGTTATTTGAACAAGATGGCCTCTAGTCACCCAGTTTGGATTTGATAGTGACTAATATGCATGTGCTTTTCTCTAATATGATGTTCGAATGTGATAGGACCAGACATTACAAAGATGCATTATTTAAATATTAATGGTCAGTTGTCGGCCACTTTGAACTCAATAACCATTGTGTTCAATGTACTACCAAGTTTAAACCACAATCGTCCATACACAACTGAAAACAAGTTCCGGAATAGTAATGACCATCTTCAATCGGATCATGCAACAAATTATGTACATCTGTCCAATATAATGTATGATGTATGCCTGAAGTTTGAATCAGTCCAACCATATGTGAGATATGGCTGTCTACGGATGGACCGATGCTCTCACACACGGGGAGGGGGCAATCAGTAAGGCTTGTTTGTACAGACTGCATCTAACTAAATGGACTACTGTGTCAAATTTGACTGACATTAAACAAATTTCCAACATTTAATACTGACCAAACATCTGTCAGCAAAAGTTTTTACAATACACTTTCAATAACAGAACTTAGAAAGTAACTGTATAAACCCACATGTTCATTATGAAAAAATGGTCATTTTATAAGTGCGTAGGTGGGTTCCTTTCTGTTATACAACTTCAGGATACAACATATGTGTATTTTATTTATATTTATATGTTTATTTTGATAATATTCAGCCATAGTATGAATCTAAAAAGGATTCCAGTGCATGTTGTTAACTTGATTTTAAGAATGAATTGAATGATTGTTTTACAAAGCAGAAGAAGTAACCTGCTATTAGGGATTAATTTAAGCATATATAGAAAATGAGTAAAATCACTCACAGGGCTGAACAGTAATGTTGGCAATATTTTGATAAGGATACCTTACTATATATTCTCAACTAATTCCAATCTTCCTGACATCTACATGCTGTAACTTTAGTCGATCAATTGCTGTATGTAAATTAACTCTCAATTGCCACTGCATCATTGTTCACGTTCATACAATTTCCCGTCTAACAACACCTTGTGACGTATAGGGTAAAAATAGACATACCACCCACAATTAGTAATTTTCGGTTTGACCCAATTATTACAAGGTCTTCATGTTACAGAAAATTGAGCTTATTATAACCACGGAAATTGGCCTTGAGTAATTAATTATCGAGGAAATTGGTCAAGCAAATGAATTAAATGTATATAACATCTATCTGTAGATTTTGTCTTCCGTGAAAAGTTCGACTGCTGGAATAATATTGCGATATGTTTAACTGTTTAAATACATAATCCTCCCGGGGATTTATGCAACAGAAATAATAAAGGCTTAGGTAGTATTGTTTGATTGTATAGTAATGAAATCACTTATATAACGGTATACCTGTTGATTTATACCATGTTCATAATTCCTCATATAGTAACATTATTAAAAAAAAAAGATTGTTTGACCGGAAATTACTTGAATCCTCATTCACATATTCAATTATCTCACATTGACAAAATTAATTTAAGAACAATTGCACACCATATAAAGCCCAGGACAACTGCAATTGTTCTACTCACAAAGGTAGGTAATAAGTGATTAGAACAGTCAGTAAAACTTTTGTATACCACTTGAAATGAAGAGGTTGGAATTAGCCGTCTGTGTGGTGTTTCTTCTCATGAAGTCTGCGTCTGGTGAGTTGTGCCACTATGGCTATTCCTCTATAAAGATGACATGTCATGTTGTAGCTACAATCAATTATATATGTTCGGTATTGAATAATATCTGAATAGAATTCTTGTTGGCACTGTTTAATACATATTTCCCTTGCAGTAAGTTGTATTTTTTCTTACTTGGAATTATTTGAAAACAAATTATTCTAGGAGAATCCACCGTCGTTTAAATGTGTTTCCAGCACCTTCGCTCGCCTCCCTGTCGTCTATTTTTTCTTTTGTGCATGCGCAGTTCATGTTTCACTTATAATACACTCACTTGTCATAGTACTTTTTGAAAATAACCGATTTTTCGTCAGAGTTGGAAAAATTCTTCGCGTACTGCGACATTATTTAGCTGAAATTGTCAAATTTTTAGCTAAAAATGTATCTATTCAAGTATATGCGCGACTAACAAAACCATTTGACAGCTGACAACTTTGATACTTATTTGTATTGTGGATACGTCTTGTGATTTCGAGATACTTTCATACCCCCAACAATTCATATTTACGTTGAAGTCAACCTTCTTCACTGCTTTCAGGTATTCACAGAACCATTGACGGAATGTGGCACAAAGGTGGTCAGTATGTGATCCACGTAGAAAAGACACCACCGTATGTCGATATTAGATCGTCATCTGGCACTGGCTTAGAGGAAGATTGTGCTGAAATGTGCTATAGTGCCAGTACTTGTGAAACAATGATGTTTACTAAGGTACATGTTATGTGTCTTGGCAATATCTTGGGTTGAATATATGTGTAAAACATATTGTTAAATGCACGCAGATCACTGTTTCTTTGGGGGAACTTTCATTGCATATTCAAATATTACTCAATATATTCAAATATTAAATATTACTTTTACACTGGTTGTAAGTGTCAACACTCGTGGGACATTTAGCACAAATATTACAACTAAAACTGAATTCAAAAAATTGTAAGTATTTGATGAAAAAGCAAAGTAGTTTGTTAGAAGTGTACCATTTCAGTCCACATAATATAAACGTACGGAGTCCAATTATAATTTTTTGACACAAACTATATTTACACGAAGAATTTTAAAAGTGATGCCTAAATGTCTAAGATGGCAAATCCATAAAATTCATAAAACTCACAATGATAATAATTGGAGACGCCTAGTCCCGAATCGCATGGCTCTGCGTCATTTTCTATTTCGGTGAAATGAGTAGTACATTCGGAAACTGAAATCTACTTTATGGAGTACATACGTGTATGCGATGGACCAATATATTTAATAGATTTGTTTGTTTACTGGTTAATTGTTTCCGTTGTAAATGTACTCATAGTATGACTTTGATAACACAGCAAAATTATTTACTTAAAATACATAACAGTAAACACAAGAGCAATAATGTGCCATGATTATTTGATGAAATCCCATAGATTAGAAGCTTCCATTAACTCTTTCAAAACGAAATTTTTTCGTTATTCCTCACCAGGCGTTAGGAGACGTTGAGACTTGTTTTCTTTTTGACAAGAAGTTCAGTGAACTTGAATCCTTCTTCTGCGAAAGTGGCGGTCTGCTCTGCTCCGAGATATGGGGTAAGTTACTGCTATCGAACAGGAATGAAATAGTGCCTGGGCTTAACTTCACTCGTCCATAACTTTCTTTGACAAATAGCGCGTTATAATATCCAACACTGTCTATTTTATGTTCTGTAAAAAAATTATACTGGAGATCGTTGTTTATGTTACAGTGAAACTCCCCACGCAAGGATAAAACAAAGAACTGACGATTCAATGGTTTCACAGTATATATGGTCGTAACACTACTGTTTTTTATTATACCTTGAACGGAAAAAAACACACTGAGGTCTCGATTTGCTTCTCTAATATCGTTTACAAAGATCATGGGTGCAGCGGACACGATGGCTGATGAGACTGGAACACAATTTGAGAGACAAAAAAAGTTACGTGACTCTCGCTCCCAGCGAGATTTCGGCGGTCATTTACGACTGAAATGTAATCTCATAGACAATAGTTTGTATATGGTGGCATCTCCATCCCACCAAGAGACGTTGCAAGGGATAAACGACCTTTTATAAGTTTGACGCAGTTGCATGTTCCTCTCTTCCTATTGTCTTTGATATAACATAAATAAAACTGTAGTGTAACGTGTAACGCCTTATTGTCAATATAATAAATATTACAATACATATTACCCTCCGTTTTTATGGTACGTATCATCAATTCAATGTCCAAGCGTATTTCCGTAATTCGTTATATGTGTAGTTACCATGTTGTGTGCAGCAAACCCAACTGTTTTATTTCATGATAAAACAACATCACGGTGCATATAACAGTACTATGTGCACGTGGTTATGATCAATCGAAAGTAATTCATAGTATTATTGGTCTTATGTCGGGTCGCTCTTGAAACAATTGCCCGACTTTTACGAAAGTGTGATTTCTCGCCTTTATCATAACAAAACAGCGCAATACATCATACTGCTTGTTGGGTGTGTTCTATTTTAGAACAAAATATTTCACATTCAAGTAATACATACAAATTACGGGTTCCACGCGATGTATACAATGCGGGAACAAAATTACACATTGTTTGCGCAAAAATCGAATGTATAATGTATTTAATTTGTCACACGAGTGTTGATGAATAATAATAATGATCAAATTTGAATATTTTTTTTTATTTTGAATTTAATCTGTGAAAAGGGCGTAATGACGCGTCATCAAACTATATCTATATTACTAGAACCATCTATCTAATTTTAAACTTTGTTTGTGGGTAAATTGTAAAGACTGGAATTATTTATGAAACATTTACAAGATTATTCAAAATGTGCAAAAAAAACACATAGACATAACACCCATCATGCATTATTAGCTAGAAAGAGATCTAGTAAACCAGGTCATCCCATCCACCGTGACAGTCTCCCATTTAAGGTTACACACCTGTATTAAACCTTCCATTGAAGCACATGTAAATTGCAAAAAATTGCCAAAAATACTGACATTCTAGTGATGATCCGAGATATCAATTTCACCATCTGATCAGGTGATTAGCCCAGCTGTTTTTATATAATTTTCTCAAAATATTAGCCAGTTTTGAACACATTAGAACTGAGAGCGCACTTCAATGACCGTAGCAGACAAGACACTGTTCCGAAAAACTATCAACTCACTTTTGCTTTGAAAATTTCCACTTTGGTTATCCCTCTATCTAAGAAGATATAGAACCTCGGAAATTAATTCGCGGAGAAAATAAGGCCCAACATTCCTCCAGTAGAAATTCTCATATTTTTCTACATTATCGAAGCTGTTGTACGATTACGAGTCGACACGCCGTCTGAAAGTCAAATCAGACACTCTGCCATATCCTGTACATATAAATGTGCCGAGTTTCAGCGCCACAATGCATTCAAAAAATATTTTACTTTGTTTTTTTTAAAGAATGTTGTTAAACTATTTATGCTAACGTAAAATATAAAAAAAATCAAGCTTTTAATACAATTATAAAAATATTACCAGTTAAAACGGGGGAGCCGTCACCTGCGCATGCGTCAGATGGCCATAGCGTGTCATACAGACAAGCGTTACCCATGAGCCTTTGCGTTTTCTAGCGTGTGTTGTTATCGTCGCTTGGGACTCAATTCCCGCCCGTGCGCAGGTGACGACCCTCCCGCTTAAACTGGCACAAAACATTATTGAATTTAAAATATTCATAAGACCATTTTTATTTAAAGCTAATCTGTACTCTGAGCCGGAAATCTGGCATAGGTCTTACTTCACTGTGTCTATAGTTCCTTATAAAACAGTCCAAAAAGACTGTTACAGGGAAGCATTGTGTCGCCTAAGAATTTCTGCCCATTGTCTACGTATTGAAACTGATAGAAAATTCCATAATACACGCACAGAAAGAGTTTGTATTTTATGTAATACCAATTGTGTAGAGGACGAGTACCATTTTTGCATTATCTGTCCGTTTTTACCAAGAGTTGAGATCTAAATACATCCTTATTATTATACACTTCCCTCACCCGAAAAATTTATATCGCTATTACAATTACAAAATGCAGTAATCTTGCGTAATATATCTAAATTTATTTTTCTCGCCACAAAAAAAAAACGTAATACAATTATTTTGGTCTGACATTTCATGTTCTTTTCATATTTTCTTGTTCTTTTTCAGTCACTGTAAAATGACATTGTCCTCTGTTAAATGTTATGTAATTGCAATGAGTATACCTTGAGGACGGAGGCCTACAGTATTATAAATAAATTTATTATTAATGCTGATCAATTTGATCAAAACCAGTGTAAATATGTCTGCTGACAATTTTACTTATCGACAAATATAGCGAAATAAAACAAGGGACTGCGTTGTGTCTTAGTGTTGTGGATTTACAAATTATTACGCAATACAGCAAATTGTTATTTCAATTCAGTGAAATCAAATCAAGTAATTAGGTATTTCTACTTATTTGACATAAATACGCTGATTTTACATGACTTTCACTGTGGCTGATTTACCCATTCTGCAGTTTTGGTTCATCGTTAAAGCGTATGATGTGTAACAACTCTTCTGCCAGCCTAGTCCTCCCTCCCCCAAGTCCGTTAATAAGGCCTACAATAACCATGTGTCTGGTCGCCACTGTATAGCGCCCACTGTTGACAAATTGATTGAACCTGAAATATATAACTTCAAATTTAAAGTATTTGTATTTTGGTTATCTCATAAATTTGTTTTCATGTGAAGTCGTAACATGTGGGAAAGAAGTTTTTATTATTGCTTGGGAAGCAAAAGTTCATTGAGGATGTCACCATTAGGTCGAGCATCACGTGACCGATCCGTGAACCCTTGCGATAAAATGGCGGCTGCCTTGAAATCATGACCGTCTTTCTGTTTGGATGTCAGCTTGCTGTGAATACGCGACGCGTTAGTCACCACGAATAGGAATCGTAGATCAGAGATTAAGGTATGAACGACACTTTTGGTGTCTAGTGTTATTTCTAAGTAGGTATTTCAGCGTACCTCAGATGATCTGTACTGACTCGATCTAAGTCAGTCCAGAACGCGGTGAATCGGCGGCACACTTTTACAATTATTCACTAAATACATTTTAAGACCAGCTACATGTTTGCCGTATACCGGTGACACGGCGTGTTCACGAATCTGTAAAACATTGTATATGTGACAAATAGTGCCACAGTATTTTTTTTTCAAAATTTTGAACACGTTGGCACGGTAATAGTATTGTGTCAACGGTCTCGTTCATGTTGGGACGTGTGGTTATTTGAGTAAGTCCCAACTTTTATGATGGAATAAGATATTCATTCTATTAAAACGATTCACAAAAGTTGTCTCGGTGAACAATTTCAATCTTTACTAATATATTGTGAACATTGCATACACATTTTATGATCACATAAACACATCAATCATGATTATCCAATGAAGTCAGTTCAAGACGTTGACACACTGCTGTGACATAGGGGTGATGTTTATATTGGGATAGCCCTAAGTACAGTCCTGTTGGTTGGCCTCCTATCGCTGATCATTCGGCCTCCACAGTCCTAAGAAGTCGCATAGACGAGGGATTGAACACTATGTGAAGGGCTGTATGTTGTAATTTAAGAGACATTCAGCTTTGCAGCTAAAAAATAAGCAGGTCGATACATCAAACTATCCCAAATACCTTAACTGGAAGCAAAATTACAGAAGATTTCCCACTAGGGTCGATCAAATCATCATTTTTCAACGTCAACAGAAAATATACGCCGCCATCTTGTTCTTGGCTTATTTTTATAAAACATTGTTTTGTTGCATAAAACTAGCTTCTTGTTGTTTATGAAAATGACAAATTTATGCTGTAACTGAGTGCCCACGTGAAGGCCCCTAGATAAGCTAAGTTGTGACTACCGGGTATTTTTGTTTTCTCTAAAATAAATTTTTTAATGTGACTACTAAATCGTAGTCACGCTATTTAGTTTTCAACTTTTCTTGTCTAACCACTTTGTGCACATTAGGAAATGTACACTAGTCGGCATATAGCAGTTTTATTTTGCATTACAAGTGGCTATAGTCGGTCATCAGGTTTTTGCCACACACAGTGATGCATCATCTCAAATTTATTATTTTTATTCTTGCCACAAGTGTCTTTACGGAATGTCTATGTACATGTAAGGTCTGTGCTTAGTGGGACTGGCTAGTTATACACCTTAATGCCTATGGGTAGTAGTAGTGATTTCTGTAAACGTAGGCTATGTAAGTGATTAACATCCCTCATTAGAATTGACACACCTCCAATAAACACTTGCAAATGAATTCTAAAAGCGGCCTAATATTTAACAGTTTATATTTTCTTTGTAGATTGATAGTCTGGAGGTCATCTGAAGGTCATAACACATCATTCTGTTACCATGTCTTCCCATGCTAGCTGTTTCCAAACAGAGAAATCCATCTACCCACCAGTGGTAAACAGAGAGGCTAAAGGTCATGGTGTTGTGTCAAGTTACGAAAAACATCTTTTATTGCATGACTTTGTGATTCCGTTGGTGCAAGACCAAGAAGACTCTGACCCCCAACCACTGCCAACTCAGCATATACCGACCCCTATTCAGTGCGCTCCAGCCCCGACAAATGTCATGGGCGACCCTGATCTGTGTTTATCGCCAGAGCGTCCAGTTAAGAAAGTCTCGATCTCGCCTGGGAAACCGACAGTTCATAAGTTTCAAGCTGCCGATCCAGTGCATGAACCCGGGCTATCGAATGGCAACTCTAAGCAATTAAGGAAATGCAGTCACTATCGTGGTGTTGACATTGACGTCAGACCTTTAACCGCGAAGTCGGTAGTCAGTAAAAAGGAACCGAGTCAAAGTAGCATCGCTTTGAAGGAAAACAAACAGTATCTCGGGAACCGAATCACGACTGACGATCGTGAATGTGAGCTCACCAAACCGGTATATCATTCTACTGTAGCACTGGGACAGCAACTCCAAACGTTGAAAGAAAATAGGTTTGATCCGCAGAGTGCTGTCATGAAAGTATTACAGTATTCCGAGGAGACGCATCATGCCCTGAGTGAGCGAGTCGCAGAGACCGTCAATGTTCCAGTCCGTGAAAAGAAATACTCAGGTAAGAAGGTGTCGCAGTGCACCTAGTCAGTATTCTGTCAGGATCTGACAAGCTGACATCCATCAATATTGGTTATGTGTGTACAGTGAAAAAATCATCTAAAAAACAGACAGCTGAAAAATTATAGACTATTTACATGCAGTTATTATAACTTCTTGTGACATAACAAATCACAGTGTGTTTATTCATTTGGTGCACATAGACTGAAAAATATCAGAAAACATGCAGCTCATATAATTACATGTAATAAAGTATCTTTTGTATGTGATCTGGAAATAATATGAGGTTATTACGAGGATACCTCAAAGTATGCACAAATACAGTACAGCTGGAGTATCGACCGACTCACAACTTATTATTATACATGTACATGTTTTCTTTTCAAGGATACATCATTAGAATCCCGAAATCAAAAAAGTTTAGAACAGAATCGCAAACTTCTTTGTGTGGAGTCTGGTCAAACCCTGATCGCGGCTATGTTTGTTTTTATTATTAGAGGACGCTCAAGCATGTAATCATTCCATATTTGGAATTCATATTTCCTTATATGGTAGGATGAAAATACTCCGTAAAGTACCGCAAAATTGCGGCACGCTGTAACTTATGGTGTTACGGTGACAGATGTATAATAATTCTTTTTAACTTGATTATACACATACATGTACATGTACAAATTAATTAATTTAATCACGTTAAAACACAAATGTCTACTAGGATTGCATCAAGAGTGAGAGCCACAAGTTTTATTTCTCTCTTAAAGTAGTGCTCCATTTTCGCCTGTTATCACATTCACTGTTTTCATCCATCTGTGTAACCATGATATTTGGTGACGAGAGAGAATGCAACTCTATGTGAGGGACCAAAACAAGCCTTGTGTCACTCTTGCTCATAACATGATATTAGTGGCTGATTGGTTTATTGTAGCATAGATTTGTCTTTGGAATATGTGTGGAGAAGTACACCAAACAAAAATATACATTATCCTGTATATAGCTGCAGGGCTTGAAGTTCAGAGTTAAAAAGCCACCCATTTTCCTAGGCAAAATTTTATTTATAGCATATAGACATAGTTCAGAGGAAATCTATATTTTTTCAAGAGCACCGAAGTAATTTTCAAGTTCAAGCCATGTAATTTGAACAAGTCAATTACAGGAGCTCTTGCTGCACACGTAAAAATAGTCACATGACCTCTGACATACTAGTATTGTTTTTATCTTTCAGGTCTTATTAGTGTAGATGTACCCATTGAAGAAACAGTGAGTCATGTGATAGAGGAAAAGATGTCAAAGGTCAAGATCAGACCAGATAAGAAACCCAAGGTATGTACTGTAAAATCTCTAATTTAGACGTCACTCTAATTTAGGTGTCGGGGGAAGTGTGAAAGGTCTCAATTTGGTTCTAAGTTAGATGTCACGAAATGTTGAAAAAGTACAGCCAAAAAAATGTTGGTATTTTTACATGACAAAAATGTGCATCGGTTTTAATTTTGTTGGTAACGAAAAGTTTAGTCTAAAAAAAAATTTCAAATAAAACCACAGAAATGCATTGCTTATATTTGTACATCTACCGTACTACCGGGGTAGTAAAAATGATCACTGTGTCGGTAGCGCAATTTGGTCATACTGTTTCACAAGTGTATAACTTGTTTTTGAAGTGTTGCAATTGTTGAGATTACTACTCAGTAGTGACTATAATAACGTATAAAAAAGGAATTTGTTGGATTGTCATGAAATGCAAGTCAAATTCAACTTTATATCATCGCAAGAGCATATTTTCGATCACTTGCAAACGCTCGATACGATACATTATCTGCCAAGTTTTTTTCAATACAAGTTGCTAATTAACCAATCAGAATGGATGTTGCCAACTTTTTCAAATTACCGTAGCACATCTAAATATGTTAATGAAAGTTCAGTGACCTCATTCAAACACAAAAAGGGAATGTTACCGATGTTGTAGTACAATTTTTTGGCATTGACTACATCATTTTTTTTCAATCAGGAAATTAGCTGTTTTCAAAAGAAAGAGCATTGAAGAAGAACTTAACACTTTTTCAGTGATGCATGTAACAGCTTATTGTCAAAACAAAGTTCACCCATTCACGCTAGCCTCAATAAACATCATATTATTGAGTAGGCATCAGTGACATTGAAAACCCTAAATTAGACTCTTCAGGCATCAGGAAAGATTGTAATGTTCAAAAAGTAAGGCCTAAATTTTACGGTAGGCAAAATGTATAACCCGTGGGTTGGGAGGGTTTGAGCTCCAAAAACTTGAGGGCACTCAATTTCAAGGCCAAATCTTATAAAATGAGTATACCCCCAGTCGGTATAATATAGAGATCTAAAAGGCCACCAAGCAAGGTGAACTAATGAACCAATTGCCTTTGATTCCCCCTGTGAAGATGATGGATTCATGTGCGTCACAAGAAAATAATTTACATGATTTGTATTCATCACATGGGACACATTGTTTCTAATGCTTGGCATTGTAGTAAACCATTACTGTGGGAGAAACATTTCTCAATACCTCTGGTCAGCCAATCAGTTCCCTGATTGCCTCGCCTTCGATGCATCTTCAACATCAACTTTGCTGAATGATTTTTAAACCCAGATGTTATGTCTGTATTTTGAAATCAACCAGTTGTAGCAAAGTAGTAAGACAATAAGCTAACTGGGGTATTCAAAAATGTTGTGCCCACAGTAAGTGTTTTATCCTTTTTTACCTTTCATTGGAATCATAACATTACGAATGTAAAGTAAGACCAAGGCAAGTATGTAAAATTTTCTGTAGTCCTACCAGGCTAAATTTTGGAATAAAACATTCAATTTTATGTAAAAATATCCCAATGTACATCAAAAAATCTCCTCAAAATAATTGTGTTTTTCTTAAATAAATGAATAACTAGAATATCCGTCATATTCTATCTCTCTAGGAAGCAGAACCTGCAGCTCCAGATATCCTTGAATTTTTCACTCCTGATCTACAAGAAGAAACGGCACATTGGTGTAAGCCAGCTAAACTCTCAGTTCCTTTAGAGCTTGCCCCGGACACTATGGTGTTTGATCTATACAGACATATGCAGTGGTGGGAGCAGCATTAGAAATTATTTCATTTAATTTCTTTGAATTGTTTTACGCCTAGATATATGTGAATGAATTATAAATTTCTTGTAAGGCTAAATAAAAATAGTGTATTTCTGATATAAACCAAATCTAGCCTTGATTTAGCACAATAGCTTAGCATATCTAGCGATAAAGTATGCATGCACTTCCTGTTTCTAGTTCAATCCTACTAAACCCATATTGCAATCTGTACATGTATGATTATGAATATTTTATTAAAAAATACTCTCATATAGCAGTATTGGTAAACATCCTCAATCATATTGTGGTGATTAGTTTTCGTAAACAGTTCTGGTAAAAAAAAGGTCTCTGGGTCGATATGACGCTAACACTCACAGATTATTTGTGAACAAAATAAATATAAAATAAATGTAAAAAAAACAAAGGAATTCAAGGGCAGCAGTCGCCAAAGTGACTCAACTTGATTTTTTTAAATTTTATTTTGGCCCAAAATTCCTGTTTCCGCAGGAATAGAGTCCCAAGCTATGATGACAACGCCAAAAACTCAAATACAAGGGTAAACACTTGTTTGTAAACAATGACACGCTATGGCCATGTGACGCATACGCAAGTGACAACTCCCCCGCTTTAATAGACAATTTTTATTTTATAAGGCCTAATTCAATGCAACTATGAACTGAATCGTATAGACTGCAAGTATGATGGTGTTTGTTGTCCATGATTACGAGTTATTGAAATCGGACTGATTTTTAACATAGCAAAGTCAATGATGTTGCCATGACAGTCTACATGTTCCAAAACCAAAATGCAAGCAGTGTGAAATTTTTACTAATGTTTTACTTCTTTTTACACTCGAATGCCAAGTATAACTGTGCTGTAAATATTTTTTACTGTAAGAAATGTTCAAAATAGGTCATACACACCATTAAGGTCACACATCCTGGTACTTTCTGGGGTCACACATCCTGGTACTTTTTGGGGTTGCACATCCTGGAACTTTTTCAGAGCGTATGAATTATCAATGACAATTTTTTATTTTTTCATAAATTGCGAAAAAAACACAATAAAAACAGTTAAAAATTGACAATGTTAAAAATTTCTATAAAATATTGTAAATTATTGCTCATATTTGGTAACAAATCCTCCAGAAAGTATCGTTCAATAAACTGGTTAAGATTAAGTAATTGCATTTATGTATAAAGACAATAATTTGAATAATGAATGTATAGTTTGTTTTAAGACAGAAAAGAAAAACATCCATGGATAAATGAATGTAAAATATATGCTGAATAAACCTGAAATTAAAGTGTCATTCGTACCTTTGCGCTATTTTCGTTCGTAGACCTTAAAAGTACAATTTTTGTTAAAGGTCTGTGGTTCGATAATGCTGCCATGATGGTATGCATGTAAAATAATTTTTTCACACGTGACAGAATTCACCACCTCTACCTCTTGAAAGTAGAATTCTTTGTTCCTATTTGTATTGTTCTATTAGAAGCACATCTGTAACAGAAGCAAAAATTGTCTTTATAGTTTTCTCGTAAGTGAAATGTGATTTCTATACACATCTTTGTAATTTACGTCATTTGTGTGTATACGCTTCTGACAGTGAATACAGTGCAAGTAGTGTAGTATTATGATTATTGGCTTCTGTGCGTTTAGAATTGTGAACCACTCCCAGGCAAAGACAAAAAGTTTTTACAAGAAAAAAAACAATCTTGGTTTCAAGCTTCAATATTTACAATTATCTTGTTCCAGAATTCATTTGACAATCTCATTCTCAGTTTACTAGATAGATTGCGCCCTCTGACGAACATATGTGACATGTTTGTTAGTTGTGTGGTTTGCAACTGATGCCATGGATTGGCCAAAGCTGGGCGACTTGGAGTGGGACTGGCTGTGTCGAAGCCATGTTTCAATACATATTGTGGAATTTTACAATGACGTCACTGCCGCACCGCACTGCACTGTGGCCAATAAGTGAATGCGCAATGAATACATCATACATCTAAATAATTTGATCTTGTTAAGGTCGTCAACTTGAACTTCAAAACTAAAACAAACTGAGTCACTGTGATTCTTCCTGTCTAAACACTATTCAATTGGCTCTAACCCAGATAAGTGCGCCCCTCATAGGAAAGGTATTCTGGAAGGCCTAAATTACGACATAAATAAAATCCCCATAATACAAGAGACATTTTTTTTTTATTAAACATAACCTTAAATCAAAAGAAATTTGTTACCATTTAAGCCTAAAATCTATCGATATTTGAAAAAAAAAAAACATGTTTTTTTTTTTCTGAACACTCATTGGAAAAAAAATAAAAAAAATACGGTTTGCTGCAACTACTAAAAATTTAAAATTTAATTGGTCATTTCTCTCAAAAAATGAAAAATATAATGTTCAAACAAATAGACTGAATTTGTAGCAAAATATCAAGTTTTAAATACCATTAAACCTGTATGTAAAGTGCAAAGACATGATATTAAATAAAAATAAGCAAATTTGGGTCATTGGGTAAATAGACATAATAAGAAAAGTGTTTAACTACAGTGATTAATCTATGCTGTTTATGCTTTTGATATCAGTCGGGCAATAAATACTTGAATTGGAGGCAAATGATAGCAAGTAATTGCGCCCTCAGTGTTGATATATTTTTCTCATCGTAGGTGATTGTCCGTACAGATATGCGTACTTTCTTGTAGATCATAGCGGAGATTTAACGGGAAAAGTATACTCGGGTATATCGTCAAAGTGAGTAATTTAAAAACAATGTACCCAGCAAAGCGCCAAAAATCTGTATGTGGAAAGTTTCCAATATCTTGTCTCATTCTGCTGTGATCTTCAAGTTGTCTTCTTGGTGCGTTTGAACAATTAATGTAATGGTCATTTGTAATATGAAATTTTTTTTTTTATAAAAAATGATATAATGTCAATGTAAATGCACACCGATGAAACCTTAGTATACAGTATATGGAAGGTTTATACTGGAATTGATAATATTTCAATTCAAAGTGTTTATATTATTATCACGGATTATTTTTTAGAATTGTCGCGCCTCTAGTGGCAGCAAAACGCTCCAGCTCGTACTTCGTGTATTACAGTCGTGTATAGCAAACGTTTGGCCCACCCACACTACGTGTTCAGTTTGCGTGTTTCAAAAGTGTTATAATTTTTATTATGACCACAATTCATTAAATTTCGGGTATGGAGGAAATGATAAAGTATTATTTCATAAAGTATAAATAGTATGACTCATAAAAATTGCTTAATATGTATAGGTTACAAATGACACGCCCTTTATACATGATTTTGAAGTCACGAGCGCGGAGCGAGACTGACTTCAAAACCATGATGTATAAAAGGCGTGTCATTTTATAACCGGCTTCTAACATGGCTATGCGCCCTCCAATAATAAAATGTTGCATTAGATTAACCAATCATGTGTGTCCTTTTGACGATCTCCTGTCAATCAAGATCAGACAAACCCATGCTCTCACTAACTTCTCTCAATTTATACAGAGAATATAAATCGTGAATCCGTCGATCTGATTGGTGGAGGGCGAATAGCCATGGTAGAATGTACGTCACAATTATCAGTACTCATAAAATAACTAATTGTAATTTGATCAAACAACAACAACAACATATAGTAAGAGTCAAAGAAATCTAATCTGCTGTTTTAATGGTAGTCATGACTACTACAGGATGGAAGTAATTCTATCAATACATTGATGACGTGACTTTTAATTTGTGAACGTGACTTTCTTCCAATGATGACGTAATACCCTCAATGAGTGTTGCGTTAACGCGCAGTTCGGGGCAAGCACTGATTGGTTTAAAAGTTGTATCGGCAGATACCATGACGTCACCGGTAGTCAGACCGGAAAACGAGGCTCGGCTTCAGTTCAGTCAGTTCCGTCAGCGGTCGTGCTTTTCATCATAGACTGAGGAGCAGAAGGTTAGAATCCAACCAAACTATTAGGCACAGTTGCGAAATAAATCTCGGACAATCTTTCCAGATTTCGCTTATCGAATTTTAAATAAATAGGTCAGAAACTAGCCTTCTGTAATCTTACATTAGGTGTAAAACGTTGACTGTAACCAAGGCCTGAGTGCCGGTGGCCGTGACATAACTAGGAAATAGTACCGTATTAAAATTTATGTGCGGCCGTAAATCACCAGTTCTAAATCGTCATTAGATGGAATTTTTATGGAGATTCTTAAGAGTTTAAAAGCATGCTATCTCTGGTATCTCATAGCTGTACGTCAGTCACGCTTTCTGGAACGAGACAAAAACAGGCTAAAACTGGCGTTATCGTGGAAATTGGTATGACGCTATGCGTATGTTTGATTTCAAATGGTATGAACTCAGTACGTCCCCAATAAATATGTAAACGACCTTACTTGTTATGAGCTGTTTAGATATGGTTGACAATTAATCGTATACTGTGGACCGGAAAGAACTGAATCAAGTGGAGTATAAAAATCCTCCAAGAAAAGTGACAAAAGTTTACAACAACACCATTCAGAGAAAAAAACAGCTTAAAAATAAGTGAAGTAACAAAAATAATTTGCGTGATTGTTTCAACTATATTTTACGCCGACAGTTTCCAATGGTCAACGCCTGATACTGCTGCTGAAAAAAAATCAGAACCGCAGCTAAAATTTTCCAGAATCCACCTTTTCTCAACTTACAAAATGCGCAAGTTTTTTTCTAAACGCAGAATGGTTCTCTAGAATTTCCATACTGGGAAATAGGAAATCTACTACTTTTTCTCGTCCGCGCCGTTTTGCCTTGAAACCCTTAACTGGGTCAAGTCTGCAATCAAATCTGGTGAGATATTGGATTGTTGTCAACAGTTGACATGATGAATTTCGGAATCGCGTAGGTCTTCTTCTTTTCGCTATCGTCACCAACTAATTGTCCGTGTACGGGAAATTGTTGTTAATGGATCGAACTGTTTGGTAGATGTAATCCAGTCGTACCTGCGTAGCACAGAGCTGACATCGAGTGGACGGGCACTCATATGACGGCTGGTCTGGCCCCTGTGTTTTATCAAATGGAAGCAAGTACACAAGCAGAAACATTCAGCGTCAGATATCAATAATTTGCTGGTTTCTAGTGCGCATGGTATACGATCAGTAACTTGTACGCTCGTTTGGAGTTTGCACAAGATTAAGCTCATGCAACTTAATCGCGGAATTTTACAGAATTTTAGATTAATAAAAAGATGAATGTAATTGTAAACTTAAGGTAGTGGTGTTTTTTTCTCTCCTATTTTATTCCTTAGTTCTCTGCTGGCAAACAAGATTGAATAAGTGGCGGTCTTTGTGACGTATCTGGACAACAAAATACCACGTGTCACAAGTCTCATATTTTTGTGAATGGAAATTTTCGACATTTTTTATAACGAAAACCAAATCGGAATGCGGGACATGAAGGCTAAAAAAATGCCTTATCAAATTATAAACTGTTCGTAACCTAGTTCTACCGCACAGTCCATTATTAACCACAGGAACGCAGCTACCACACGCGATGGGCAAATTACCACTGCTCCTAAACTAGTATATTGCAAGATCATTCCTAAGCGATAGGAACCAAATGTGATCGCTACACGTATGTCTCTGGATAATCATGATTTTAAGCTTGATTTGAGACAATCAGAATTGATTATAGTCACAATTGAATATTTTATAAAAGGCTCCCCTGTTATGTGTATTACTGAGACATATAATTAGTTCAATCAAGTAAAATAACGCTGAAATACGAGGCGATGTCTACAATGCTTTATTATTGCCTGGACTACGACGGGTTCAACAATGAAGCAGACTAGTAGTTAGCTTTATCATCATCCCAACATAAAACATCTTTCCAGGGTGAAAGTAGAAAAAATATATTATTACCGAGTCCTTCATATGAGCCCAATAAAATTATCGTCGTCATAGTTTTAGTACGTGTGTTTAAACCCTTCGTTTTGCAATGATGAGATAAACAAGTCGGACCGCTGAGCTAAAAATAAGCATGGGTTCGTAACAAATCAGCGTGGTATTAGATACAAGCTCAGTTACGTTTACGGGCAGTGTACGCCTCGCCTCGTACTCATCGAATCAAAACTGACATCAATATAATTCCTACTAAACAAACCGTGAAGAATTATTGGTAATTCGATAACTTTGGAAAAGGTTTGTTTTTTATGATCGTCCGCGTGACTGTATTTTTTCTGTTTGTGTCGAATTCAGTCTCCTGTGTCAATAAGGATATTCACACAGTTGGCTGCGGACCGCGTTTATCTGCTGGAAGCAAGGTTATATTACACCACGGTCGCTGTAGGAGTTTGTGACAATACAAGGGACGGTGATCGAGACATAGCCCAGAATCTAAGGTAAGAATTTATTATATGAATTCCCGGTAACCCCGGGGAATATTTTAAAGAACAAACATGTGCCAATCTGTGCAAGTCGCGGTAGAATTGGGAAATGTGAAGTGGTGTGTGGGATAACGAACACACGATTTCACCATATCCACGCAAAGGCGTCATTCGGTTGTACTGCTTGGTATAGAGGCATGTTCATTACACTATTATAATACTATCATTTACTGCACAGCAAAGTGTAGAACTATGCTGTTTCATCATACGTCACTTCAAACCTTTGTGTTTGATGTTGCATCATTCCTCCGTTTGACAATTTGCGAGACATCTAAGTTGCGGTTTACACATTAATTTACTGTAGTAATATTTTATGACATTGCGGTTATTCAGTCTTTTCGCCATTACACTTCACTGCACCGATTGAATGCAGATCACGTGATTCGGCTGACAAGCACGTCTGATAAAAAACTCTAACATCTGTAATGTTCTGGCCAACTTTATTTGCTAAAATCGATGCATGCGCGAAGTTTATTTATCGTAAATTAATTTTTATTCGAAAAGTATTAGCAATCTGTGATGCTTACATTTGAAACTAATGTGACTGTTCACCATAGATCTTTCTATTCGTTTCAAATTCTGCCTGAGGCATACTCAGAACTGCACGTTATCGAGACAACAGGGATAACCACGTCTCACAGCTTTACATTGCAGTTTGAGGTAGTTGGGGACGGCAATGCGATTCACGCGAGTTTTAACTAGCTCTTACAACCCATAAATTAGACAACGCAATGGGGTTAACCAACCTTTATGTCAAACCAAATTGCATTACTAACATTCCACATTTTTAACTTGTTGACATAATGGGCGCTGAATTGATTTGGTGCATAATATTATGCCAAAAAACTGAAATCCTTTTAACAAACAATCTTGGTTACCGCTATTAAAAATGTAGTAGACTTTTTTTCAGGAATTAATATTCACACCAATTATTTTCAATTGTGGTATAACCTGTAAACTGTCACAGAATCTTTCACGTTTCGATCAATCATACTGACATCCGGGCAATATGACGGAACTACTTAGCGTCACGATACATGCTTGTTTACCTCGCTGATGACAGTTATTAGCCGTCTCGTTTATTTTTCCTGCCACCCCGAATGGCACTGTCATCGTAGAAAGAGATTGGTGTGGAATGTTTTCATTCCACGCGAAGTCGTTAGTATCGGACCGCCACGTGTTTCGCGTCTACTTTGATTTAGCCGTCGAGCATTAACATCTTGTTGTTGTAATTTATATCGGTGGTTAGTTGACAACTGTTTATTTGATCTCTCACCCATGTCGATGTATAGTTCATTGTACTTTCCTGAATATAGCGCCCTCTAGCGACGGCGACGTCTGTGACGTAATTGGGAAGGAAGACGACTCTCTATGGCATCAATGTAATTTTGGCCTGTGGTTGAATTCAGGAGAAAAAATAATATAATAAAACAATCCCACTTTACTTTCAACGATCTTACGCCATAGAAGCGCTTCGTCGCAAGAGTTATATAATTGTAAGTTCGGTGTTAAGGGTTAATTCAAGTTGCAAATAAATCAACAGAGTTGAGCCAACATTAATAATAACGGATTAGAGACGGCATTGTCACGCGATTGTTTCTCTCAAATTTGTGACGTTTTACCAGCACCGGCGATTAAACTTGAAAACTGAGTGTTACGAATGCATAGCGTTCGATTAGCTCTCGGTTTTACGGGACATGTCTTAACTTTTTAACATGTTTGTAATATTTAAAACCTCGAAATTAAAATTTTCGGTGAACATGTTTTGTGTTAGTAGTGTCTAATTGATATAACGTAATACAAATAAATTGATTGGCAGTACCGATGTTGTCTATTAAATATTCATTTGCCCGCCTTTCCATCGATTTGTACACGAGTATGGCAAGATTTAACTTCTTTCTTTGACGCAGGCTAATTCATTTCATTTTCTTGAACACATTTCCGCAGATACCTCTTTTGGCTCTAAAACATAAGCGAATGGTAGCACCCTTTTGACTTACTGAAACAAAAATGGCATAAGCTTCGTAGCAACAAGCTACCTCATCAGAGGTAAGTCTGTAGTGAAAACGTCAGGCATGGATATGATACGTCCGGCACGTGTTTCGAATACTCGAAATCTGTGCAGTCTATCTGCCTCTGCAATGCCAAATAAAATAGCACAATAATGCATATGTGATAGTATAAATCTGTCAAAAATAGTTAAAATGTGGAATTTTGGTGTTCTTCTTAAAAAGGCTATTTTTTTCTAGTTGACATATTTTAGAAATTTGATAAAATGCGGAGTGTCCATGAAAACGATCCGCCAATGGTCACCACCAATTACTACTTAGAACGATCAACTTGGCCAAACTTTTAACCAACTAACATAATATACCCTGGTTTCGCTATGTTGAGACTAGGTATATTTTTCTACAATTATGATGAAAAATCCTCAATATCTGTATTTATGCGACGATAAGAGTGAACTCGTAACCAACACATCAAATAATGATCCTATCATTAGCAGTACTAGTAAATCCACCACAAAACACAACAATCATCATCGTGACCGTGACGGCGCCCCCTCGTCACGCTCTAGGCTATATACTTTGTATACTTTTTTAAATATAATTTATAGGTGCTAAATAATTATGTTTGTTTACAGTATAATACACGTTATTAAAGATGCAGTATTTTTTGTTGATGAATACAATAGATTATAATTTATCATGATCGATGTTCTTGTAGCAGGCAACTGAGTATTCGTTGTCTCTATAATACAAGTGCGCTGTTTTTGGTACGTACAATAAAATCACTGCACATGCGTATAAGTATTTTTCATTTAACTAATACTATGATGTTTATGATATATCGTAATCTAATTTGGTCCTCATCCTGCTGTATCAAACAACAATATTAGTAAAATTCAGATTTCCATCCATATTGTAATGTTAAAATAATGATTATGTTGTAACTCTGGAAACGTGTCTCAAAACGGCTCCCCTTTTGCGTAAATTTGTTTGAGAAAGAGGAGGTTTGTATTTCAAAGTTTAGCAGTAGCAGGGAACATATGACCCGTGCCAAACATTATGGTATATATTAAAGGCCGGTAGTCGTCGTGTCGCGTCCTGTTCGATATGGGACTCATAGCGACGTATATAACGAGTGTAAAATACATTGTTTATTTACATGAAATTTGAACACGCGCTGCGCGAAGACCACCGCGCTTTAAGTATTAAACTACCAACCACTCAAATTTACGCGTTTGTTCACCTCAGTATATTACCCCTCCTCATATTCTCGGCAGTGTCATAATGAAAACCCGACCTAATACATTCCAACATGTGTACGTTACGGATTGATACGGATATGGATAATCTTTTTCCAACTGCGTCACAAGATTTCCAGGTAGAATAGAGCGCCCTCTAAGGCCAAAACTAAAATCCTATTTTCAACTGTAATCGCTTGTACTAAATACCAGTACACAGTTACTTTCAACACCCTTTAATTTGATCGAAAAATCAGCTCCCTTGCAATCGGGATAATCACATTTGAGTAAAAAGCTACGGTGGGTGAGATCGCGGGAATGACGTCAGAGATCTCTATATATACACAACTCAATCACTGAGCTGTGCAGTTATGCAATTTCTCCGCGGTATCCGTACTTGGTCTGCACTGTGTAACGATCCCCGCAGATTTCTGAATACTCTGCCGTGTCATATTCCGTAACTGTTTATAAATCTCATCATCGTCTTCCCACGTAACTATGCGACTTCTTGACCCCGATAGCCCCCGCTGGAATACATTTGATCCGCGAACAAGTAGCAAATTGAAAACGAGGAACATGTAAACTGTTCTTGAAGATATCATAATGACGTTACGTACAGGTCGTTATTTAAGCCCACGGTGGGCAGATCGGAATTTTCAGGAGAAAACTGGTTTTCTTTGTTTACTGGGTAGAGTGTATTTTTTAGAGAGGCGTATAGTTTCTTGTTTCGTCTCTGCAAATTACTGTAAAATACTTTATTTTAGCTGGAAATAATTTTCGCTGAAAAGACATTTCGGGTGTTTTGTATGGAATTTATTTTCACTGATTTTCGATGAGTCGAATGAAAAGTAAAGGGGAAAAGGTATATTTGCTTGATTTTATTTTCACTAAATCGTCCCTTCAGCGAAAACAATGAAAATTAATTCCAAGCAAAAATAAAGTATTTTACAGTACGTTTTTCATAAATGTAATCCAGCTATGTTAACAAGAATAACGGACTACCCCTTCTACAGAATCATCCACACCGTGTTAGAGAAACTATACTAGCCAATACAGTGTTGGCACCATTTTACTATTCAAAACAAAATAATTTTCGTCTACGTTTATTTATTTTCGAGTGTCTTTGTCTACATATTCACATTCACCATGCGCAATTCGTGTAAACAAACACTGTATTTTACAAGCTTTGCATTTAACACAGTCAAAAACGACGAAATATCAGTATATATACATATACTAGTAGTTTACATATACATTTTTCATCTGCTTATTAGCGCTTTTTGCCGCGAAAATTTTCATCATTTCAAATTAATCTCCCAGCTTTCAGTTGACGCATCATGGAAGGAAAATGCGGCGGCGGCGCACGTGTATTGAGCGCGATTATTGGCTGATGTGGAAGGTGTGTCATTTATGCAAATTTCGGTAAATGCACTGGCTCTAATTTGCTGCTAATCACCAATACGCGACAACACGCCAAAATTAGTCCACCCAAAATAAAATTTAATAGTTATAACTTATTACATGAATGCTGCAGTAATTTCCAGAATTGTTTTTACCCAGCACTGCATTTGCATTCGACTTTACCAGCAGCGTAATTGCTGTTTCACCGGAACCATAGTAAGTGACCCCCTACAACTCGGTCATACTCGCCTGCAAGAGTGTTTGCTTCCGCTACACTCTAAGGATAATCTGGTAAAATAAACAGATG